GTGCTATGTCTCTATTCCAAAGCACCCACACGTACCCATCACTCTGAGTGGGCTCTGACTAATAGTTCATCCTTGGAATCATCGTTGGCACGCTTCAAAAACCCAAAGCTCATCTTTTATTTGAGTGGAAATCAGAATATCGTGGTTCCAGCACCAGCGGAGGTGTCTGGGGCTGGGGGAGGATTCCCCGGCCAGAGCCTGAGCGGGGCAAAACTAAAGCCCTCATTAAACCCTGCTGCTAATTGTGTGTCTGAAGCTGTAGGTCCGCCAAAAAATTACGAATAAAATCAAATATTGCAAAGACTGCGGAGCTGTGAAGTGTTTCTTGGCTGCGGGAGAGGTTTCTTTGTGGGGTGGAAAAAGGGGGACGGGGGTGCGTTGGGTTTCTACTGGGAATGGCAAACCCCACACTGGTTCTAGGGTGCAGGAAAACCCCTTCCTTAAGGGTTGGGAGGAGGAGACGCCGTTCCCCCACCCCCGTTTCTAAGGACAATCCGGCGGTCGTCCGAGGGATGTGGCGAGGCTGGAGGGATGCGGGATGCACAAAAACCCACCCGCAACCGCGGAAGAGTGCGGGGCACTGGGGGGTCTGGGGGAACGCAGTCCCCGGGGGAAAACAGCCCCAAACTCACCTTCAAAGAATTAAAGTTGGCAAGAAAACAGTGTAATCCTTTATATTTTTCTTCCCCAGGTGTAAAGTCCCTTTTCCTCTCCCCCCATATTCCCACCTTCTTCCCCATGGACACCATCCCTAAAACCCACGTCCTTTTCTTTTACGACTACTACTATTACTGCTAGCACTACGGCTACTGCTATTATTATTGATAATAATATATTGTGTTGTATTATTATACTGTATATGATATGCTATGGTGTTATATCTTATAATCTTACATCATATCATACTCTATCCTATTATATCCTACCCTATGACATGATATCATATCATACTTTATCATATTGTATTATACTGTATCATGTTATATTACATTTAGAGCAAAACCTGGCTTGATGCCTTCAGGTCTCTCTTCTCCATCTCGGATGGCAGATAAACTTTCTAATTATTTCTCTTCCCACCAGCTTCATTTCCCTGAGCGAGGTCTATTGATCTGTAAAACCCAGTCTATCCCTTTTTTTTTTCTATCCCCCCTCTGCTGATAAATCTCGAGACCAGGGATGCAGAAGGAGAGGGGATGTTTACCCAGATATTGCAGATAAGGGAGCACAAGGCTCCTCGCACGCAGCCTGGTGCGCGGAGCTGTGTCTGGAGGCTCCTCCGTGGGCTTCAGACATTCTTAACCCAAACCCCACTAAGCTTAAAGGATTTAAATGCCTTGGGGCTTGAAATTGCTGGATGCTGCCCAGGAGAGCTGGGGGAAAAGATTAAAGAACAAAAAAAATAACCCCCCCAAAAAGCCAACAAAATAAGACGACGAAAATGAATAGTAATCACAATTTAAAATGGAAAAATAATAGAAATTTTTAAATAAATGCACAGAAGGAGGGCTTACAGCGCGCAGAAAACGAGACTCGGGTGGGTTTTCACCCTTTTATTCACTTCCCCCCCCCCAGTATCTGCATCGCCCTGCGATGCCAGGGGGAAAAGGGGATTGGAGAGGTGGGGAATGCACCGAAAATGGCATCAGCGGGGTCGGATCCTGCTCGGGGATGGGGCTGAGCTGCTGCGTGTGGATGCAGCTCCCGTGGGTGCCCACTCCCGAATTGCACAAAACCCCAACGCGGGCAGAATTCCCAGGGGTGCGGAGCCTGTTATGGCTCCGCGAACCCACTTTAATCCCCCAGAAATACATAAAAATACCCAGCAATAAGGTTTATTCTAGACTTTTCCATGTCGAGGGCAGGCGCGGAAGGTAAGCGGGTTTTTTAGTCATAAAATCGGTTTATTCTACTAAAGCTTTTTATTTGTAGGGAATATTTATCCCGATTTTACAACAAGAGGGTTTCCCCCACCCTCCTCATAGGATGGATATGTTCTCCTTCATTCCAACGATGTGAAAAATCCGCAGAAATCAGTGAAAATAAAATATTTTCTGTTATGTTGCTATATAAATAATAATAATAAAAAAGGATCGAGATAAAAGATTCCTCCCGAAGAGGGGGGGGGGGGGGGAAGGAGAGGGAGAACTTATCGAAGTGTTTAAAAATACTAATAATAATAAAAAAAGAAGCTGCATCCGCACTCTATCCATCATATTTAAATCCACAAATCTAAGTAGTTTTATCCGAACGAATACTACGGAATGACATTTATCTATCAAAAGGCTCTGGAGTTAAATTATTGAAACTACAGCGGCAGCAGTTAGTTTTGGGGTAAATGTTTATGCTCTGTAGTCAACACAAGAGAGTCGCATCTTCAGATGACATCCAGTTATTTCTGTAATCACTCCATCATTTGCAGAGAAAAAGAGAAGAGACCATTTTATGGGGGAAAGTAATTTGAAAGAAGATTCGCTCTCCACAAAGTGGCTTATTCAGAAATGATCATAGCTTCGGTATTACTGAAATTAGACTCATCTACCCGCCTGAAGTAAGAAATATCGTCCTATTCCAGGCTTTTTATTAGCCAATCAAATTTCCTTCGGATCTCCATTTGTGATTTGTGAAAAATATAATTCCTCGAAAAGCTGAGTTTGAGCATATTGCTTATTTTCCCTTAATTTATTATTCTAATCACAGCCGCCGCCGCGCGATAATGCAGCCATTAGGCGAAAAAATTCGTTTAGATTTTATACTCCGAAATGGGCACGGATTATATTTGAGAGACAACGAATTTCTCGGGCATTAAATTTTTGGGGGGTATTGCGCTGGTGGAGGCGAGGAAGGAGGGAGGGGAGGAAGATGCGCGGGGACGAAGGTGGGGGAAACTTTGTGAGCTGGATTTGTAACAACAAAAGGCAATTTCTCCCTATTCTATATATATATATGTATCTTTAATGTCGTCCTATTTTTCCTCCCGGTCTTCCCCCCTCCCTCGAATCCAAACCTATTTTATCCCCCCCCCAAATCCCCTCGCTAATATCAGGGAGGCGGTTTTATAGAGGGGGTTTGGGGGGGGCGAAACTATCATCCCAAACCCTCCCTTAGCAAATGTGCGCCCAGGTTACTTTCTGCCTGCCAGGATCAAAATTTCCTCTTCACATTATGGAATTTATTATCTTGTCTGCTCGCTGGAAAATGGGATCTCCATTGTGTTTGGGAAGCTGTTGTGGTCGTAGTTTCCCCCCTCGTAACTTTTAACTACCTGTTATAAAATTTATTGGTGGTTTGTAAAGTGAATAAAGTAATTTCCCTTCCATCCGGTTGTATTACAACCTTTGTGTTGTTTGGGCAGACAGACACGCATCCAGCCAAGGGGAGAAAAAATAGATAAATTAAAGAGGCAGGGAGTGAGTCCCCCCTTCCACCTCCCCCTTTTGGTTTATTTTCCTCAATTAAAATTAAATTAAGGCGTGGAAATACCTGAAAATAATGGTTCTGTGTGTGGAAAAGAGCGGGGAAAACGCGGTAAAACCTTTTTCTGGATGCGGGAGCGCAGCCATAGGAGCTGATATTTAGGGATGGGGAGGGGTGTGGGGGAAAATAAAGATATCCCTCTCTTTGCAGAAGGAGAAGAGGAGCAGCAAAGGCTCCTCGCAGGGTTTGGTGTGGAGGAGCCCATCTGAGTAGGCTGGGCTCTGCGGTTGCCTCTTTCCCCCAGTTGTGGTTCGCGGGGGGCCTCCAAAAGCAGGCCTCTACACGGTGGAAAAATGTCGCTTCCCTTCCAAATCCATATTTTCCAGCCGTCTACAGGGCCCCCTCTCTCGGCTTGGGGTGGGGAGTGGGCAAAAATTAAGATGGTCAAAATCAAGATAGAATCAAATCAAATTCCGCCTTTTAGCATCGCATCCCCGACACGGTGGCAGGGGAAAACAAAAGGCGGGGGGGGTGCTGGAGGAAAAAATAGCATGGAAAACCAAGATGGAAATGCTGGAAAATCGTGGACGTGGGGGTCCCACCGGCAAATTGTAAAGCCGGGTGGGTTGGGGGGATTTGGTAAAGGGGATGCAAGAGTTTCGGGGTCAATACCGCTCCTGTGGCTCAAGTTTTGGGTGTAATTCGGGCAGTTCCAGGTGCTCACCCCCCGGGGAGGGGTGGGCAGACGGAGCGCTGCGTGGGGGGGGGGGGAATTGGGGCGGGGAGGTTGGAGGGGTATTTTGGGGCGGGGGGGGACGACACGGGACATTTTTTGCCCTGGGACGGTTTCATTTGCAGCGGACACACCCTTTGCAGTGAGGGTCTGGGCAGAAAAACCCGGGGGGGCTCCGAAATTCCCATTTTCCCTGTTGTGTTTTTTTTTTCCCTCGAGCGCATTGTCCTTGATTATTAATTAAATGCTTTTCGAATTAACATGCTCTCCTCATTTAATCTATTTCTTTCTCAAAGCCAGTCTGCTCCAGTTTTACCCCCACTACCCTTATGCCTCGATATTTTCCTATTTCACCCCCCCCAATTAATTATGAACACGGAGACCAATAATTCTTGGCGCTAAAGGCCAAATCTCATTAGTTAAAGAAAAAATAAACGCTGAGGATTAACCTGAGCTGCAAATAATCATCAAATTAAACCGAATCTATGTTTAAAAGGAGAGAAAAAAAATCAGACTGCACCCTGCTTTATATTAACGCGGTGGCTTAAAGGATTAAAAAAAAAAGGGGGGGACGGGGAAAAGTAGGGGGGGCGCGGAGGGGGGGAAAAATGGGAATATTGGAAGGGAATTGTATAAACATGGCGACAGACGAGAGCATTTGCACTCGTCACAAAAAAATGCAACGCATTCCTGGTTGTTTGCAGAAAATTTACAGCTGAGCAATAAAAGTTTACGACTGAATCACAAGTTGGATTGGCCACAGGAAGTCATGTGGACTCCATCCATGAACGTGAACTTTTTATTGTGGTTTCTCTTATGACTCTTTCGCAGTAGTCTTTCCTTTAACAGTCCAAGCAGTGCCAGGGGTAGGATGGTATTTCCCCCCCCCACTAATTATTAGCGTGATGATGATGATTTTTATTATTTTAAATTTTTTTTTCGGCTTAAAAAAAAAATCGAGATTTTTTTTTTTTTTTTTTTTTTACCCCCCTCCCCGTCTCCTTGGGGTTGGAATTCTTGGTTGCTTTGGGCATTTTGGCATTAATGAGTTTACTGCTGCGTCTGGTTGCCGCCTCCTCTTCCCCACCCCTAGGGGCAAAACGCAATGCATTTCCTTTGCAGGATGCGATGATGAGGGGGCACAAGCAGTTGTAAATACCTTTTTTTTTTTTTTCAGCCCAAAAAAAAAACCCCAGAGAGAGACAGATTCCTCCTCCAGCTTCCCCCATCTCTTGCCCAAGCAGAGAAGATCTGTTTTGCTTTTGTTTCCATATTTTTTCTCCCCTTTTTTTGTGTGTTTTTTTTCTTTTGTTTTTTTTTTTTTCTTTTCTTTCCTCTTTTTTAATGTTTCTGTGGAGCTGAGCTGCAGCGTCAGTGGATCAGAAAGAGGGAGAGACAGAGAAAAAAGAGAGAGAGTGTGAGAGAGAGGGAGAGGGGGAGACAGGAGCCTCTGGTAAGTGTTCCCTTATTGGTTAAAATGTGTAACTAATGATCCATAGCCCGGGTGTTAAGGATAATGATGCATCGTTGTGCGAGCGAGGGGTGTAGCTTGGATATGAGGGAAAGCTGCTGCGGGGCGGCAGAAATGCAGTTAATTCGGGGGGGGGGGGAGAGAAGAAAAAAAGGGGATTTGCTGTTGCTGATGTCATATTCGGGGTGCGGGGAGGCAGGTCGGGGGGCGCTGGGGGGTGGGGAAGGGTGAGGGGTAGGGGGAAGGAAAGGGGAAAATAAATATATATATATATGGAATGATGGAAAAATAATCCTTGTAACTTTTTCCCCTTAAAGAATAATAATACGGGGGGGGGGAAGCGCATGCGCGGAGGGGCCGGCCCGGCGCTGCGCGGGGGGGGCTGCGGAGCCTGCTGGCAGTGCCATATTTAATGAGCTGCGGTGCTAATTGTGTACGCGAGGCCCGGCCTTGCGCGCCCATCCCCCTTGCATCTCACCCCCTCCCACCCCCACCCCCCCCAACGTAACAATCACCCAACCCCGGCCGCGGCCTGCGAGTCTTCCGCGGGGCTACGCGCTTCGCTCCCGCGGCGACTAATTAATATTAAGCGCGAGGTGATTAACAATCAACTCTTTGCATCCCAAGAGCTTCCCCTTTTTTCACTCCCTTTTGCATCCGGGCGGGTGTAAAGTTCTCCAGGAAAAAAAAAAAAAGAAAGAAAAAGAAAAAAAGGGGGTTTTCATAGGGTTTGATGGGATTTGATTGAATTCTATTGGATTTGATTAAGTTTTATGGAATCCCCCACGGCCGCTTTGTAAAGGAGCAATTGGACTCCACGTCGTAAAAACTGATCTCAGTGCTAATGTTCGGGAGCGCTCTGGTTTTCCTGCGAAGTGGTTAACACTGTGTTGGCTTTTGTAATTTATTTACATGCAAGTCCCACCCCTTTCCCTGATTTTTATTCTTATTTCTTTCTTTCTTTTTCTCTCTCTCCCCCCCTTTCTCCTCCAGCAACTTTAATTCAGGTTTAACGGGTGAGATTTAAAGCGTGACCCTTCCCCTGCTAACCTCCCCCTCTACCTATCCATCCACCTACCCATCCATCATCTAATCTTATCTATCTCCCTGTATACACCCGTGCCGTGTAAAGATACATATATATATTTAATGTAGTGACTTCATTTCCTCTCGAGGTTGTATTTCTTTTGTCTTTCTTGATCAATTCGCTCTGTTAAAATAATAAAAAGTATATATTATAATAATGAGGGTCTGTAGGAGCAGGGATTTGCTGCTGGTGATGCTTGTGCACGTATAGGGTGGATGTACACATATATAGGGACAGACACTAAATAAACCCCGTGGGGGAGGGGTGGCAGAATCGATGGCAATTTTCTGGCTTATTATAAGCGATTTTGGGGGTTTCTCAGTGTTTGGCCGTCTGCGGGAGGGGGGGATTTGGGAGAGGCAAGGGGGGTGCTGGAAGTGGGGGCCTCATTTTCTGCCTTGCTGCTTTTCTTCCCCCCTCTTTTTCTTTGGTGGCTGTTGTTGTTTTCTGGTGGGTTTTAAATGAAAATGGCCTCCTCGATTTTAATTTCCAGCGCGCGTTGGCAGAGGTTAATTAACGAAAGCTGTTGATGAAGTTCTGGGGTGGTTTCCGGTGGCGTTGTGTTAAATTTAATTACAAATATATATGTCTATATATATATATCTATGTGGGGCGGGGGGGGAAAGAGGGAAAATAAAAGAGAAAGCTAAGTTTCCAAAGTTGTCTTCCCTTTTCTTTCAAGAAATCTGGTAAATCCCTGCCCTGCCTTTGGGGCTGGAAATTATCGACTGGAGAAAAGGGATTTTTTTTATATAGAGAGATTTATTCCGGCTGTGCATTTGAAACAACGTGCGGACCCGCCGTTTATTTTCATTTTCCGAGCATGTCATAAATAGGGGATCAGGGATGGGGGGTGTGTGTGTGGGGTGAAATAAAGGGGGGAAAAGAGCCGGGTTTGCCTTGGTTTTGTTCGCCGGGAGCCCGTTGTGTGGAGGCGCTGCCTGTACCGCGGCCAGTCGTAAAGACATTTTATGAGCAAACAATGAGTGTTTATTGGAACCACATGATTACAGAAATGGGATCTTTTATTGTTTTCAGGCTGAAATCCGTCTGCTTCCCCTTTCCCAGCCCCGGCTCCTGCCTTTAAACCTCCAGCGCCAGGCCCGGACCCCCCAAATCAACTTTAAAATCTATTGATTTTCTCCTTTGCCTTCCATCACCGCCACCCTTCAGACCCTCGTAATACTGAGAAACATTTTTAGGATGTAGAGCGGGAATAACAGAATGATTTATCTTCTCCGAGATTTATTTAGTATTATTTTTAAACCCTGGCTTAAAGCAGAGGAAATCAATTGCTGTTTGTATCGGGGATGAAAGGGAAAGCGCCGCGTGTTCTTGACACGGATTTCAGGACGTAACAGATATTTTTCTTTTGGACAAATGGAATCGGTGAGGAAAAAGCAAAATAAAATCAGGATACTACAGGAAAATTTAAATGAAATTAGCGCTTCCTAATTTATTTAGGAGGGGATTTACTTCGAGGTGTTGAGTACGAGCCTAGGAAGGACGTAAATACCATCTATGCAACAGGGGAAAATTCACGTTTTCTTCGAAGGCGGCCACATTTCGCAAGTTTATTCCCGACCGTGAACCCGTTTGATACAATCTGCCCCACGCATGGGCGTTTATCTCCTCGTCTATAAAAGCGTGTTACGATCAAATATCTCTAAATACAGAGCAGGAACGTGTGGGTGGTTTATTCTGGCGAATCGGCCGTGTTGTAAGAGCCTGGAAAAACCTGTAACTACAAAGAAATGATTAGAAAGAAGCGATTTCCCAACTTGTCGTGTGAAGGAATTTCGGTTTGGGGAACGAATTAACCAAACCCACCAGAAATAATATATGATATATAGAGGCAACCGCCACGGCGGTAGGTGCTAATGCTTAAAGCTAGATCCCTGTGGTTATCTCCCTAGTAAATATGACTGGGGGGGGGCTGTATTTCTACCCCGAGCTTTGTGTAGCAGAAGGGTTTGGGTTTCGGGTGGTTTTTTTTCTTTATTTTTCTCTTGATTTTCTCCTCGAGAGATAAATGTACAGAACTCGGCATGTGGAGGAGAGGAAGAGGCGAGAGGAGATAACAAAATTAGTCATAGAAGGGGGAAATATATTTCGGGAGAAGACGACGCATAACATTGTGGGATTAAGAATTTGATTTTGGGGATAATTGCAGATCGTGTTACTATTGTTGGCGGGGGGTTAATCTCTGCAGCGCGCCCTCTCCGGGGAAAAAAATGGCGAAAAAAGGGGTGGGAAAAAATAAATACACTCAATTTTCAGTGATGGTGTTTGAGGTCAGGGCTAAAAGTAATAAGAATAATTAAAAATATAAGGCCTTTGGATTTGAGGTGGCAGCGGAGAGATGAAGTGTGGAGAGGGATTTGGGAGGAAAAGGGAGGAAATTGGGACAGAAGCACCTCAAAATTTGAGCGGAGGATTTTATTAGGCTCGGGGGGCGGGGGGGAACGGTGTGACCTCCAGCCTCGGACGGGGGGGCGGAAGGTGGTGAAGAGGAGGAAGATGCTGAGGAGGAGGAAGGCGATGAGGACAAGGAAGGCGAAAAGCGGCCCCGTCTTCCCCCCCGCCTCCTCTCTCGCCCTTTCCTCCCCAGACACAAACACAATAAAAGGCAGAAATCCCGAAATTGCGGTGTCTGGCCGCAGTCTGCAGGGGACAGGCTGCTCGGGTCGCTTTTGTCGCATGGGGACACACCTTGCTGTAAAAGTCTTTGTCCCCAGACTAAAGACCCCGCGTTTCAATGGGGGGCGGGGAGGGCAAAAATAAAAAGGGAGGGGGGGGAGGAAGACAGGGAGCAAGGCGAAAGGAAAAGAAAAAACACTGAAACCCACCCAAAACCCACCCTAAACCCCCTTAAGATCCGCTCCAAACAAGCTCCAAGGGGAGAGGGGGGCCAGGGGTCTGTCCCACAGGTGGGGCCCCCCTTTCCCTTCGCCTTTCCACCCCCTTGGAGTGTTTAAATTTCAGCCCGGTTTTGTTTACTTGTTTTGTATACTGCCACCAAGTGACAGAAACTTGTAATTCTTCACAATTTGGTGCCTCCCCCCCCCCTCCTTTGCCTCTGTCTGGGTGTAATTGCGACGGAAGGAGTGGTATAGGGACAGGGTGGGGGGAGGAGGACACCCCCCCCTACTCAAGGGGGTGCGGAGCCCTGCAAAAGCCTCTCCTGCCATAAAACAAATCACTTCGCAAAGAACTTTTAGTACCTTTAACATTGAGACGTGTCGTTCCCCCCCCCCTCCCCGCCCCTCCTTCCCCAGCCCCAAACTTTCCCAAAGCCGTTTGAAACTCCTCACTTACACTTTCGACTAATTCAAGGCGGTTTGGGGGTTGTTTTTGTTATATATATACACACATATTTTATTCCTTTCGTTCCGTGCTCCCGGGGTTTCAATCATCCCAATGTACGTGGACTCATAAAAATAGATAAGGCATATCAACTCGGGAACGGTCTTTTCCCCCCTGAAAATATGAGTGTATTTAAGCAAATCCTGAAATATTAAATTGTTGCTCGATTAAAGACGATGCGAACATATAAATTCCAAAAAGTGCTCAAGAGGTTGTCTCCAAATATATAGTTTAATTCTGCCTAAGTGATCGCCTCTAAAAAAACCATCATTAAGGCAACTATTATTGTTTCCTGAATTATTTTTTTTTCCGCGCTACCTATGATTAAATTTCTGCCTTCATATCTGCGACGAATAAAGGATAAAACTGCCTATAGTTAATGACAACAATTCTTCACTCCTGAGTTACCCTTGCAGAACGCAATAACATCCCACTCCTTTTGATTTTTAATCTCTAACACCCCGCAGAAGTAATTGCACCTCCGCGTATCTTCACATACAGACCTACACCACCGAAGTGGCCCTGAATGCAGCAAAACGTCACTTTCTAGCATATTATGCCATGAAGTCGTGTCCGTGATGGGTGTGACGTCATGAGCGCCAGCGTCACTTTTTCCCTTCTTTTGAATTTTAGCGATTTTAGGGAATATTTTCAGTCCAGCATGAAAAAAAAGACACTTTTGAAATATATATATACATTAATTAATTAAAAGCTGGAAAGCAGAGATTTCATTTCTTTTCTGTTTTCCAAAGGAAAGTTGCTACCTGCTACCTGAGCAGGTTTTAGCCTAGTTTTAGGGGGAAAAAAAGCTCTTTTCCTGAATGCGGTTGAAGGAAAAATCCCCATTTATTCCCACTTTTAACCAAGGAGCCACCAGGAATGTTTCCGCAGCCGCCAGACACCTCCCTATAAACAAAGCACCTCTCCGCGGGTCTGCATCCCCTTAAAATATGATTTTTAGTCTTATTTTCCTCGGGTTTTGGGGGGTTCCCTTTCCCAGCCCTGACGAGCTTTATTCGGAAGTGCATTTAATCAGAGAATTAAACATAATCGAGGCGGTGTTGTAGGGGAAGGGGGGCCAGGGGGTTCTCCCCCGGCTTTTTTTTCCGCTGCTCTTAACTTTTTGCAACGTGGTTACTTGGTAATTTAAGACCCAGCGAAGTCCCGTTTCGGCGGGGAGATTTCGGTGCTGCCTTCTTTTGTTGGGCTGAGATTCGCCAATAAATCTGGGAAGGAGAAAAATCATGAAATAAATCACCACCCCCCACACCACCACCATCACCCCCCCCCATTAAAAACCAAGAATATTTGGGGATTAAACCCCTCCACTCCTCGCGAGGTAAACGCGATGGGGGGAAAATAACGCAAATAAAAGCTTGAAAGGGTCAAAAAGCGCTTTCAAGCCTCGGCAGAAGAAGAGGGATACATTTCAGAAGTAGGAACAGATTAATTTCTCTTCCCCACACACCTCCCGGTTTCCTGGTTAGCAGACATGTGTTTTGACAATTGCCAGAATTCTCTCTTTTTTTTTTCCACCCTTCCAAGTCCTGCAAACGTGTGCAGCAACGGAGAGGCTTCGCAAGCGAGAAAACCCCCTTTAGTTTTTTTCCCTCCCCCTTTATTATCGTTATTATATTCTCTTTTTCTTGAGCGTTGCAACTTGAAGGGAGTCGCCCTGAACTTTTGGTGCACTTTCCCCAAAGCAACTCTGGGAATAAAATCAAGGCAACAAGAACACGTTTAAGGCCATTTCCCTTCACCACGCTGGAAAAAAAAAAAAAAAAATAGAAAGAAAGGAAAAAAAGAAAAACTAAGAAAAAAAAAAACAATAGGAAAAGCGAAGGAATGACTCGTCTGGGCAACTCTACGGGCGGTGCACGGGGTGGTTAATACTCTTCTTTATTCACCTAGGCGAAAAAAGGGCATTGCTGCGGTTTGCGTTGAGGGGGGGGAAAGAAATAGCAAACCCAACGCTGGTTGTAGGGTTTGCAGCCTCTTTTCTTGGGGAGCTATAGGGGGAAAGTGGGTGCTGTCGCGAATGATGGCCCTGTGCATCTCGGTGCAGAAAATGCCTTTTAATTAACAAATAAAGCTCCCCGAATAGGCCGCCCTCTTCCCCACGCGGTGTCTGCAGCAAGGAATCAAACTTTAAATAGGCTCCAAAGCTCTGGATAAGGAATATCCAGAGGAAAGGGAGATTTCATCTCCTATTTTTTTTTCTTTTTAATTAAGAGCTGCCCAGACTCTGACTCCGGGCTTGTAATTACAGAGAATAGAGACGGCTCCAAAACAATGCGAAGCCATTGCAGGCTGGGGAGAGGTAAATAAACCACGAGTTTGTTGTTGCTCTTTTTTTTCTCCCCCTTTTCTTCTTTTCCTTTTTTTTTTTTTTTTATGGGGGTTGTTGTTACCCCTATTTTATTTTGGATTTCTTTGATTTGGAAGCCCTATTTCCAGCAAAAAAAGGAGAGCGATATTTGAGGAGGGAAACCCTGTTGTAAAGAGCAGGGATAAATTCCCAGCGAAAGACCCAAATAAATAATTAGGACTCACGTGTGCCATAAATGTCAAGTTAAAAAAAAAGGGGGGGGGGGAGGAAAGGAAGGCAAAAGGGAGGGGGGGAGGCAGAGATCCCAGATACAAGGTGAAATCAGTTTAAATAAAAAGGCTTTTAATGGCATCGCTTGTATTTACCTCTAAGAGCTTCGAGGATTTAATCAGATGGGAGCGCGCAGCCCGAGGGCCATATGGGGGGTGGGATGTGTGTTTGTGCGTGTGTGTGTGCATGGGCCTTGCACACGTATAGGTATGGGTATTTTAGGGGTGGGGGGTCAAGATTAAGGGTGTTCCCCCTTCAGTGCATTGCCAAAAATGCATTTTTGCGGCAGTTTACAGCAAACCCCACTCATTCTGCTTAAATAATTGGAATTTTTGGGGAGGGTAGTGGATCCATACCCCCTGAGCGGGTGAGCACCTCCCACCCCCCTACTATGACACGCGTGGGGGGGATGTGTGGAGCCCCATCTCTTGCCCCACGCAGGGATCAGCCCCGAGTGGGCAACGTGGCTGGAAAGGGAAGAGAAGAGGTTCCCCCCCCCCACTGCCAGTAGCGGTGTCTGCAGGCGGTTCAGGGAGGGAGGGGAAAGGGGGGGGACACACGGATTTGGATTTGTTTCCTTTCAGTAATTACTGAGGGATAGAAAACACATGTGTTGGGATCGCATTTTTTTTCTTAACCCCCCTTTTTTTCCCCCCTCTTCTTCCCCTAAATCAGTTCATCAATTCGCAAATTATAGCTGGGGGGGGGGGGGGAAGGAAATCTCCCGACACGTTTTTCTATTTTATTCTCCGCCCCCCCCCCTTTTCTCTGTGTGAGCATCAGTGGGGGGAGAGGGAAGAAAAAAGAAGAGGGAGGGGGAAGAATATAGCTTATGAGTGGTGAATGTTATTTCGGATTTCTATGGGCGCTTTTCTTTTCTGGGAACAAAGAGCAACTCCTATTAAAGAGCTACTCGAAGACTTGTACATATTTCTACTGCTGTGTAGCACTTTTAATAAAACATCTGTTCTTGCTTCTGCTGATGAGTTTACATAATTGTTTGCAGACCAATTTAACCAGAAAGCGCCCCACATATTCCCTCTCCATGTTTTCATGGGGGAAAAAATAAATACCTTTCTGGTAGTGACATAGCTTGATGAAATACTTTCGAGAAATCCCCAAACTGCTAGAAAATATCAATGGGGGGAAAAATAATATATATCGAGTGCATTCAAAACGTGAGGCAATGAGTAAAACATACTTTAATGATGCCTCATTTGTATTTGGGGTGGTTCTGCTCTATTTTTGTTTTTCACCCCCCTCCTCTTTCTCTGCCTTTTCTCCCCAGAAACCTGGGTTTTAGCGTGGGGAGAGGATTCTATTTTAAGTTTCTTTACGGCAGCTGGTTTCTGTTCACTATAAATCGACCAGACTTTTAAGACTTGCCCTCTGTTTAGAGAAGTAATAAAACACTTAACTTTCTCGACTCCTAGTCACACGGTTATCACACAGGTCTCTCGATACAACAGCCCCGAGCACCTACACAAAATAGAAAAGAAAAGGGGGGGGGGCAAAAAAATAATAATAAAAAATAAAAATAAGAAATAAGAAGAAAAATCGACCACCACCCCCCCTCAATGGAGCTTCTCCAGGGACTCCTCCAAACTTTGGCGTGGGTATCAATACCCTTCCATAGGTGCAACTCCCCCCAGCCAAAGGTCCAACCCATCCAGCTGTAGCTCCTTTTAATTTACTCGCCAAATTACATCGGGCTGTAAGCAATACATAAGGTAAGACAACACGCCAATAACTGCAAAGCCCTCATCCATTCTCCTCTGCCTCCAGCCCATTTGTTGGACCTTTACAACAATTTAATATCTGGAAGGAGCCTGCCTGGTCAGTGGTTTCCAAAGAAACCCAGCTCTGAAAGGACTTGGGCTCAGAAGAGAGGTGCCCATGGCTACTTGTATTTACAGCACCCCCTTTGCTCCCCAGCTCTGTGTGTGTGTGTGTGTCCCGGTGGGGGTTTCACATCTCAGCAGAAAGCAGTAAAAAATCAAAATATTCATAATAATCCCCCCCCCAGTAATCGCATTTCTTTCTTAGTTTCTTTATTTTCGCCTTTCTTTGACTCCAGAAATGCCCGGGCAGGCTCTTGGGAAAGAGGAGAGGGAGAAAAGGGAAACGAAAGCAAACTGAAGTTCGCTTTTTGGAGAGGGGGAACCGCCTGTAAATCTCCCCCCATGCAGATGAGTCTTGTGTCTACTCCAGGTTGGGCAGCCCTAGGTGGGAGCCAGCGAGCTCCCCATGCTAAAGAAGATGGTGCACACTTCCAGCTCTCCCCTTTTTTGGTTCGAAACTTTATTTTTTTCCCCTAGTGACACTCAGGGGAAGCCTTAACGTTATAGAAGATGAATACACGAGCTTTTTTTTTTTTTCAGTTGTAGTCTCGTTTATGGTTTTATTGCTACCATTGATTACTTTGCTTTGTTACACAGAGGAAAAAGAGCATAAAATCCGTTGGCATCCGGGTTCCTGTTATAGCTGGGGAAAAAAATATACACCCACCCCCCCAACCCTTCTTTGTCAGCTAAAATCTTTTAGGGATACATCGCTAAAAGAAAAGAAAAAAAAAAAATCAAAGGAATTAAGGCTATTGATTGAGAGGAAGACACACAAATAACTCTCAGGTTTGAATTGGAGTGTGCACCCACAAACCTTCCTCTCCCCAGGCCCCCGCACCCTCCCGCTTAAAATGAAAACGTGGACACGATGGAGGTTGAAAGAAAACCCCCAGCAACAACAGAGAGGAGGCCAGGGTTTCCCTGCCATAATTGAATTTTTAAATAGCAAGCCACCAGAATGATAAAGATACCTCGCAATATTTACAGATCAGCAGGTATGTTTTACATTTAAGGGGCAATTTATGGCTCTGGATTGAAATTAAAATTAGATTAGCTGTCTTCATTTCAATTAGGTCTAGGTGCAATCTACCCAGAGAAGATAGGGTAGAATCCTCCCTTTCATCTAACTAAATATTTGCAGGAGAAGTTTCCCAATCAGTTGTAAATATCTGCAACTATAAATTGCTGCAAACACCAACACGAGGTTGCGTCCCCAGCCCAGGCTCCCCATTCCAAACAGAAACGCCCTGGTTATTTTTTATTGCATTTATTCCTCTTTTTTTTTGTTTTTGCTGCTGTTGTAGTTGAAAATGTAAATACCCTCCAGCTTTGAGAATGAACAGGGAAACGTTTGAGGGGAGAAATGTCAAACTCGAGGAGAAATCTAACTTCCAGGCTAACGTGAGTTTGCAATGTTGGGTGTTGCTCTGCTGGATGTCTTTCTTTCCCCCCTTCTCTCCCCTCCCCAAGACACACTTTGGGAAGGCTCTGAAACACGTTATCAATTCAGAAGTCGCCATGTTTTCCCCCCTCTCTTTATGTAATATTTTCTCATCAGGAACACAACCGTTTGATTCCATAATATTGACCAATGCTACATGAGAACAAGAAGGAGAAGGAGAAAAAAAAAAAAACAAAACAACAAAAACAACCCAGAGGGTAATTTATGGCTTAATATTCTGTGGACATCTGAGATTTATTACTGTGAATTCTGAGCTATTTTATTACAAGATATTAAGCAAACATTGCTTAAAACAACCCACCCAACACAACAACAACACACACACCACAACCCCAAAGCACAAGCCCCATAACGCTCAGACACACAGACGGTGCTTCCAAACCTCAGTGACCATTAGCAGAAAAGGGGGGTGAAGGAGAAAAGGGGGGGGGAGGGAAAAGTTAAGCCTGGCTTAAGAAATTTGCCCCCCCCCCTCCTTTCCCCCCCTTCAGCCCCAAGCAGCATCCCCAGCCCAGGAGCTCTCCCCTCCCCACCGCATCCTCCCCATCCCCCGGCGCCCCGGGGGTGCTGGGGGGGGTTTGGGGGTGCAGGACTTACTTTCCATGCCCACTTAGTTTCAACTAGGGAATCAACAGAAGCAAAAGCAATTTTTTCCCTTTTTGACACCCGCCTCCCCATTGGCTCCCCCCGGGTCAGCTGACTTTGTCATTTTGTCTGTCCTGGAGCAGAGCCTTCCCTATAACAATCTAGTTCAGACTACAAACTGGAGACAGAAATAAATATTAAAGAAATCACACAGCCAGGTGTAGAGGACGATATGAATTCCTATTTTACAAACCCATCTTTATCCTGCCATCTAACCAGTGGCCAAGAGGTGCTTCCCAACGTAGCCCTCAATTCAACTGCCTATGACCCTGTCAGGCATTTTTCTACTTATGGAGCAGCCGTTGCTCAAAACCGGATTTATTCTTCTCCTTTTTATTCACCGCAAGATAATGTTGTGTTTAGCTCCAGCCGAGGACCTTATGACTATGGATCTAATGCTTTTTACCAAGAAAAAGACATGCTTTCTAGCTGCAGGCAAAATTCTATGGGACATAATACACAGACATCAATCGCACAGGATTTTACCAGTGACCAAAACAGGAACACTTCGCAAGAACAAAAAACTAGCATTCAAATATACCCATGGATGCAGCGTATGAACTCCCACAGTGGTAAGTTTTACAGCTCGGAGATATAAATTAAATAAACTGAACCATCTTTACGACCTTCTCCCTAGCAGAACAGGCTGAGCGACTTTTTATGGCCCCATAAAAACAATAATATAGCTCCTTCACAGTTGCAGCTACAGGCCTTTTATTTGTTAAGTTGTTGCAAGCAAATATGGCTTGTTATGCTCTTTCTAATTAAAAGACTTCGAGAGTGTAAAATATCTATAATAAAGTGCAGCGAGCTCTGCTCGGGAGTTAAGCACAAAATATTACCGGGGTAAAAATAAGTTTGAATGGATTAGCGGGGTAAAAATAAGTTTGAATGACGGGTGCGGGCAGTGCGGCGGTGGAAGGGGTCCCCGCACGAAGTGGGGCCGGGGGGAGCTCCCCCATCCCCCCCCCAAATCTTCCAATTGGCAGGAATAATGTGGGAAAAAGAAAAGAAGCGGGGGGGGGGGGGGAAGGGTGTTGGAGCAGCATCCCGGGAGAAAATGACCCGGGAGAAAACGCTGCGTTAATTTAATTGGGGGAAAAAAAAAATGGGGATATTTAATATTTTTTATAGTGGGGGGGGTGCTGGGAAAGGGGCAGGCGGGTGGGGGGGGGGGAGGGGGAGCGGGGCGGGCGCGGGGCTGCGCAGGGGCGGAGGGGTTGCGCGGGTGCGGGGTGGTTTTTCCGCCCCCCCCCCTCCCCTTTCCGCGTTCTCCCGGGCTGACGATTTTTAGTCTGTTTTGTCTCGGCATCCCTAGGAGTGGGCTACGGGGCCGACCGCCGGCGGGGCCGCCAGATTTATTCCCGTTATCAAACCTTGGAGCTGGAGAAGGAATTTCACTTCAACCGGTACCTGACCCGGCGAAGGCGGATCGAGATCGCCAACGCTCTGTGCCTGACGGAGCGGCAGATCAAAATCTGGTTCCAAAACCGGAGGATGAAATGGAAAAAAGAAAGTAATTTGAGTTCAACCCTCTCCGGGGCGGGGGGGGGGCCGCCGCCGCCGCCGCCGACAGCTTGGCCAAGGAGGAGAAGCGAGAAGAGACAGAGGAGGAGAAGCAGAAGGAGTGAAAAAGTGACAGCTCGGCGGCAGGACACCCCCCCCCCCTTCCCCTCCAACCCCCCCCTCCAGACCCGTATTTATCACTGGCACAATGTTTGGCTACGTTAAAAAAAAAAAAAAAGGGGGAAAAAAAAAAGAGAAAAATATTAAAAAATAATATTAATGGGGGGGTGTGTTAAAAAATTAAGGTCTAAGGTGGAAATGTGGACACCCCCCCCTCGCTACACAGCCCCCTCCCAGTGACCCCATCCCCCGCACACCCATCTCGCCATCGCCTATTTATCTATCTCGGGATAAGACTGTTTCAAGCCGCACACGCTCCACACCCCCCTTCTCCTCCTCCTCCTCCTCTCCTCTCCCATCCCTTCCTTTGCCCCCCCCCCCAAAAAAAATTGGGCATCCACCCTCCGCTGCGCCGGGTCGGCCCCTGCCCAGCCGCTTCTCCTCCCCCCCAGGCAGAGCAGCTCTTCCTCCCTTGGTGAAAAATCAGATTTTCCCTGCCAAAAGCTCTTTTCCACCTAAATATCGCATTTTCAAGAGCATCCTCCTTGTATTTAAGCAGATACCTGGGCTCATCGCTGCATACTACAAACTGTGACAGTTTCTGTGTGAATATTTTTAACTGTGTTTGTGGTACCTGTATTTATATTTATGTTTAGCACTGTAATGTTCCACGGTATAAAGTGAATGGAGTTCTATAGCGGTAGAAAAGGAAGAAAACAAATAATAAAGAAATAATAAAAGAGACAAAAAAAAAAAAAGGAGAATTAAATCAATTCTTGTGTTACACCCTCATGTATAAAGGTCATGTCCAGAGGACTATGTTGAGTATTTAATAAAATCTGAATATTATTTTTAAAGTTTATAGAATGGCCTCTGAGCTTCAGTCGAAACCTTGCGTGTTGATAACAGCCTGTTAGAAAGTTCACTTATCTTCTGTGTGTTGTTCCTGAAAAAGAAAGCATCAGCTCCCTCTCTCCTTTTCCTCCTTCCTTCGTCCCTCTCTCTTTCAAGAGTATTCCCCCCCCAAAAAAAAAGAAAGAAAAAAGAGGGGGGGGAAATACATTTTGCTTTGTCTCCTTGAATTGGTCTTGTTACTGTATTGTTCGGTGGCATCAGGAATCTATGCCATACCTCTCGCTTCATGATTAAAAATGGATTTCCAAAGTTCAAACCAGTATATATTTCTTATTGCACCCTCCTCAGTCAAACACCAGGTCAAAGGTTCTGCTTCTTTTTTTATTATGGCTATTTTGATTTCATTTGAGCTCTACGCAGCTGAGATTCCCCCAGCTCTGCGGAAGGACCCACATCTCCCCCCCCCCACCACCACCTCCCTCCTCTCCCCCGACTGATTTCGACCCAATAAACCTTTCCAGGGAGGGGGGGGGGGAGTCACTTTAATGCAGAAAGTCATCCTTAGGAGAACGGAAATTATGGATATAACGCTGGGAAACAAACCCTGCTGCTGTGGATCGCAGGCTCGGATAAACCATTGCGAAGGCTGGATGAAAGAAATCTGCATTTTTCTCGCCTCTTTGTCACTGCTCTCATATTTACTGGGCTGTTCAATAGGTAGCGCATAGCCAGGGGTGATATTTCCCTGGAAGCAACTTAGTTCCCTTCGAGATATTTTGAATGAAACAACCAGGATTTGGTGCTAAGTGGCCATAACCAGGAAAAAAAGAAAAAATCATAAAAAAGGAGAAAGAAAGGAAAAAAAAAAAAAGAAGGAAAAAACCCAACAACCGAAAAAGCAGCCTGGGGAGGTTTTTCAGCCCATCCTTTGCTCGTCTCCAGCCTGGAATGTGCAGGCGATTTTTGCAAGGCGCAGGAAAGACGGCAAAAACACCCCATAAAATGTCTGTTGAAAGGGAAGAAAACAAGCAAACAGCACCAACGAGCAGCAGCCAAGAGCGTTTTGCAAGAGGGTAACGACCTGGGCAGGGAGCAGGAGGCTCCCTGAGTGTAAACCAGTTGGAATGAAAGGAAAAAAGGACAAAAAAAAATGGGAAAAGAAAAAAAAAAAGACAAACTCAAACATATCTCCAGAGCCACACGTATATAATTCAGCGCCTATAGCAAGGAGGAAGGCGATATGTAACACCCAGCGCATTCAAGGCATTCTCTGGCTGGTGAATGGAGACGGAATAGAAAGAAACCGCACTCAGGTCCGCGGGGCAAAGCGCAGAACGGACTGGGGGGGGGGCCCGTCCTCCCTTCACACCCCCCCCCCCCTTCCCCAATCCGCAGCAGAAGGGAGGGCTGGAAATTCAGATTTGAAGGTATTTATTTCCCCTCCGCCGTGCCCTTTGAAGAGAGGGGCTGGTTTCTCTAGGCAGCAGCAGACAAGGAAGATCCAGGCTTCTGGCAGCAATAAATCGCCCAAAAACAGAATGGGGGGGGGGGGGGAAGGTAACAGGAATGTAAACTTTGGCGCATCCAAGGAGCAGCCCCTGCGGAACCCTCGGGAGCGTCCCCGGCCGCCACCGTGCCCCAAAAGCTCGGCAAACAGCGCGGGGATTTGCGCTGCCTCCTGCCCAGCCAGCGGTTGCAAATGAATTCATTTCAAATAGCAGGGATTGGAGATGCCGCGGAGGGAACGCGCTGCTGCTGCCTCCCCTCCTGGCTGCAGCACCGACAAGAGAGGCAAAAATAAACGAAAACACCAAAAAAAACCCACAAAAAACACCAAAAACCCGAGGGTTTATTTTCCCTTAAGCTGCTATTTTGAGACGGAAGAAGCGCGCAAAAACGCGCGCAGGAATCACGGTCTATTTAAAAAGGCTTTGAAAATCGCCGAGAGTTGCACGGAGGGAGCTCGGACGCAGCCTGCGCGCTGCCCCCCCCCCCGCTCCATCTTCTCCCACCCCCCCCCATCACCACCACCACCAACCAACCAAGCACCCTCCCTCCCTCCCTCCGCGGGGGGGCGCGGAGCGCTGCGGTGCCGCGGAGCAGCGCTAGGTGCCGCTGCCGCCTCGCCGTCCCGCGGCGCGCTCCGCCCGCGCTCCCCCGCGCACCCCCGGCGCCTTCCGCGGGCGCCCATCGATAACCCGCCCCGGGGTCATCACGGGAAATGGATGAGTGGCCGGCGCCGTCACGTGACGCCACTTAAATATCCCATATTTGGGCAGCGCGGAGAGAACGGGGGGGGTGTGAAAAAAAAAAAAGAAGGGCAGAATCCCCCCACCTATAAATTCTGCACTTTAGGAGGAACAAAAAACGCGGCCCCCCCACCCCTGAACTTCAAAGGGCCACAAATCACCCTAAATCAAAGCGGTTGGGAAAAAAAAAAAAAAAAAGAGGAAAAAAAAAGGGGGGGGAAGAAAAAAAATAGGAAAAAAAGGAGGAAAAAGTAGAAGGGAAAAAAGAGGAGAAAAAAAGGAGTGAAAAAAGGGTTAGAAAAGGAGGAAAAAAGAGAGAAGGGGAAAAGAGGAAAAAAGGGAAAGAGAAGAGAAAGGGAAAGAGAAGAAAAAGGAAAAAAAAAGAGGGGGAAAAGGATAAAAAATATAGAAGGTGAAAAGGAGAGGAAAAGAGAAAAATACAAAAGAAGAAAAAAGGAAGAAAAACAAAAAAAAAAAAGGAAAAAAGGAAAAAAAAAGGAGGAAAAGAAGAGGGAAAAGATCCCCCTCCCCAAATTCCCCCCCCTCTTTTTTATTATTTCTTTTGCCTCCCCTCCTCCGCCATGAGTTCTTACGTCGCCAATTCGTTTTATAAGCAAAGTCCCCCCGTTCCTGCCTATGCCATGCAAAGTTATGGAAATTATGGAAGTGTGCCGGGGGTCCCGCCGCCCAGGTACCGCGGCAGCGGCTCGGACCCGAGCATCGCCCTCCCCTCCGCCGGGGCTGCCGCCTCCCTGGGCTCGGATATGTCTGCAGCCCCCCGAGCTAACCCCGAGCGACCTTCTTGCACGGTCATGGGTTCTTCAGGGCATCCTTTAGCCAGAGACGAGCAAGCATCCCTAAATCCCGGGATTTACAACCAGAAGAGCGCTAACCCGGCGCTGGAGGAGAGATCTAAGAGCTCGGGTGAAATCAAAGCCGAGCCGGTGCAAACAGCACAGCAAGGAGGACCCCAACTGCAGCAGCAGCACCAACCTCCACAAATCTACCCCTGGATGACCAAACTGCACATGAGCCATGGTAAAACTTTCACTTCTTGATTTTTTGTTTCACAGGATCTATTATTTTTTTTTATCTTTTTTTTCCCTTTTTTTTTTTTTTTTTTTCCCTTGCCTTGGGTTTTTATAGGCCATACGGGGCAAATAATAAAAAACCTGAGGTCGTAAATTTTACGACTAAGGCATCAATTGCTCGTAAAACTGTCCACTAAAAGGCTTAGAGGCTATAGACGCCCAAATTTATGACGGCATAATTGGATCATAGAAACAAAACGTGTATAAAAGGCAATATTCCATTTTTTTGGGGAAGGGGGGGTTAAAAATAACTGGAAATACACATGTTCTTTGAGGGTGAGCTTTAAAAAAGAAGAGACACCAGAAGCGAAGGTGAAGGGAAAGCCTGCAGAGATTTTCCCCCTTCACCTTCCCAGGGCTGCGAGGGGTGTGTGGGGGGGATAAAAAGACAAGATCCCCAAGAAAAGATATTTCCCTCCTTTGTCCACTTCCTTATTGTCCGAGAGGAAACAGGTTCACTTCTGGCTCATCTACATGCGTTTGATGTAGGCTTTGGGAGGTGGAAAGGGGAAGACTTGGGGGGGCTGAAGGTGTTGGGGGATGAAGGATTTGAGGCTGCTTCACTCCCTGCGTGCCCGCAGCAAACTTCTGTACCTTCTAGATTTGTAACCGGGTTTTGCCGTATACAGAAACCATAATAAACCGATTTCAAATCCACCCCAGATCGCTTCGCTTTTCCATGCGGTGTCTGCCCTTTATTCTTATGTCTTTTCCCCCCCTTCAGAAACGGATGGGAAACGCTCCCGCACCAGCTACACCCGCTACCAAACTCTGGAACTAGAGAAAGAGTTTCATTTTAACAGATACCTGACGCGGCGGAGGCGCATTGAGATCGCCAACAACCTCTGCCTGAACGAGAGGCAAATCAAAATCTGGTTTCAAAACCGGAGGATGAAGTGGAAGAAAGATTCCAAGTTGAAAAGCAAAGAGGCTCTTTAGGTGGGACTGCAGAAGATGGGGGGGGGGGGGGTGTCCCCTGCTTTGGTTTGATTCGGTTTTTCCCTTGTTGATGCTTTTTTTCGCCTATCCCCCCTCCTTTTTCCCATCACTTCTGGTGGAAACTTTGAGTTTTGGGGTGGGGAGGGAGGGAGCTGCTGTTGGACTCTGGTCCTTACCCTCACGCATCCCTCAGACAAAGGAGATCTCCTATTAGTATGCAAAAATAGGGAGGGGGGGGAAACTCCAACCCCGCTGTTAGCTTCCTGCAAAGATTTAGTGTATGGCTCCTTAGGTTGCTACTGAGTGTCCTAACCTGTGCGCTGGGTTTTTCTAAGGGGGGGGGAATTGCCAAGAAAAGGGCAAAATAACCAAAAAAAGCTTAAAGAGGAATCCGCGGGGTGGCTGGTGGTGTCCTCTCAGCTCTAAAACCAGCGATATTCAGAGGGAAAATGAGAAAGGACTTGGCAAAAAAAGGGCAAAAAAGGGAAAACGGGGGGGGGGGGGGATATAAAAAGCCCTAAACCCGGTGAGTTTTATAAAGTCCCGGCTTCGCTCTCCGTTCGTCCTGATGGGAGAAGGAAACCGCTGGTCCCTTTGCTGGGAATTGCGCAGGGAAGATGCTCTGGCCCCTGGCTTTCCCCTCTCTGCTCGGGAGGGGAGGAATTGCCCCCAGCTGAGGCTGGGAACCCCTAAACCGCACCTCTGAACCCCTCAAAGGGCCGGGGAGGGTGTGGGGTGTGCGTTTGCGCTTCTCTTGGGACGCTGATGGCATCATTTTATTACTATTTGCATATAAAAGAATAGATTTAGGAAGGGGCTAAGGGGGGGGGGGGGCACAACACTGATTTGCACGGATCCTCTGAAATCTCCGGGCAGGAAAATGC